TTGTGTGTGGTGCGTTGCACTCTCCTAGAGTCTATTGAGTGTGGTTGGATTGTTGGTGTAGGCTTTTGGCACTTGTGGTTGAGTTGGGACACCAAAGTTGTGAGATTTTTGTAAAAAAGTGATAAAATGGTTTTGGTGTTCAACTTTTTATAGAAAAAGAATTTGAATGTGAAGCCGGTGCCATTAGTTAGAGTTAGGAGAAAGCTTCATGTAGATAATGAAATCACTTCAATTAGATGTTGGATGGAGATTTAGGACTCGTCGAAAGTTCACTTCCTATGCTATCAAATAACAGCAACTGATGTTGTCAAATTTGTGCAATGTGCCACAGCACACGGCACCGCAGCACATGACACAGAGAAGGATGAGCCGTGGTACATATGTCACAAGTCACAACGTACATGTCATTTTCTGCACAAAATCTTATTTTGAGTTTTAAAACTCATTGGTTTGGATCCCATTTGTTTTCCAAGCTTTCGCACAACTTTCAAACTCTTATTTGAGTATTATTAAATGTGTTTGAGATTAAAATTATTGAATTTTAGGATCCCATTGTTTATGATTTTAAAATTTATCTCTTTTATTACAATTACAATTCTGGTAATCTTTTGAGGGTTAATCCCTTAATCACCTTACTTGTGGAATTCAATATGGTTTAGTAAGGGAGGCCTTACATTAAGAGGGATGGATGAGCCATTTTCTAGCTGCCATAAAAGATTATCTATAATGGTATCTGCGCAATCAATGATGACCTTTTAAAACTAACTAGCATTTTAAGGTTTTATAAGAGAAAACCTATCAACAAAATTAATGTATTTGAGCTTGATAGAATTGCCTAAAAGTGAATGAGGTTCTAATTGATAGATCCTCCAATTCTAGCTAGCTATAATGGCTAAATTTATCAACCTCATGTTTCTTAGTCCTAAGCCTCCTTTAGATGTGGGACAAAAAAGAATTTATTTATGGGTAAGATGAATGTGCTTTTTTTCCATCTTCAATGCCCCAAAACAAATCAACAAGTTTGGCATCAATCAATTCACAAAGCTTTTCAAGGATTTTTAAGTATGAGAGGACATAAATATTGGATGTTGAAAGAACAGATCTAATGAGTGTAAGATGAGAAGGTTGAGAGAGTAATTTTGTTTTCCATGCAATAATTCTTTTGTCTATTGATTCTAGAACCTGATTATAAATTTTTTCTTTCAATATATAGATAAATTACTTGAAAAATTTACTAAATACACTTAGAAATATTTGTAATGTCAGTTAAAAATTTGTGATTGTGAATTACAAGCCAATTACTTATTTTTTTTTCACTTGAGAAATTAATAAAAGATAGTTGAAAATCTTTGTAATGTTGTTGGGAATTTACTAAAGTTTATTGTGAATCTCAAACTAATCAATAAAAGATAATTTATTATAAGTTAGAACCAATGTTTGTTATTGGAATTTCAATAATAATTTAAAGCCTACAATTGTCATTAATTGTTATTTTCCCTTTAAAAATTGTCCATTTACATGTTATTTTTATATAATCATTTATTGATAAAGTAGTATATTCTTATATTAAAATTTTGGCAGAATCACATTTAAAGATTTAGGAAGATAATTATTTTCAAATAAAGATTAATACAAAATAAATTATTATTAAAATAAAAATATAATTTTTTTATGAGACTTATTATTTATCCTTATTTACAAATATATATTTTTCATGTTTTGAATGTGATTTCCTACAATTTTCGTATATGAAAATTAGTTGGTGAAGAAAACAAAGGAATAATGCAGCCTTCGCGTTTATCCAAAAGGCTCACTCAGTTGATGGCACCAAAAAAAAAAAAAAGGGTCACTTTGTTGATCTGTTCGCCTGATGGAGATATCCACCAATTAGAGTTCACCATTTTCTGATTTCTTTTTATTTTTTGACCACTTCTGATAATTTCTCAGCAGTCATGCTTAGACAACATATTGATATTTTCTAATGTCAACAAATTTTTAATATAAAAATGAAAAACTAAAACTTGAGTATATGTTCTTCTCTTTTAGCCAATAAACGGCTGCTAATGTATGATCAACTGTAATATTAATTGCTGCCATACCCAACTAGTTCAGTTCTGGAATCTAACTTGCTTAGTTATCATCACTTTTGGGTGTGAATCGCAGTCCACTCTTAAAAACTTTTTATTATAATCATGGTTCATGACCTGTTGACAATTTTAGTTCAAAGACGCGTTTTGATTTTTTTTGTTAGAATCTTTTGCGTCAAATGCTCCTTTCTTTTAATTTCGTATCAATCTATATGCATTAGGATCTTGTATTTCAATTCCTTCTTGCATATTTCTTCTCATCTTATTTATAAGTCACTTTTAACATATTTTACTAAAATCTTAGATCTCAAATTTTAAACTTCATTAACTTTATTTTAAAATTTAACCAGTTTTCATTTTTATTCCTAATAAATATTCTTAAATCTCATTATTAATATTTTTATTCAAAATATTTAATAAGAAAAAAAATATAAAGAAAAACATTAAAAACTGACAAGTACCTTATAAATAAGATCAAACTCTTTTTCTCTCTGTGTCATAAATAAGACTGGAGGAGTATATTTATTTGTATTTATATGGTGAATGTATGCATATAATAAATAGGATAAAGGTGCATTTTTTTCTTTGATGTATTTTTTGAGGAGCACCTCGTACCTTAAAATATTTATTAGAGCAAGTTTGCTCTTAAAGTTATTAAAACAGAACATTTTTGTCCTTTCTATCAAATTTTCTAACCGTCAACGTTTGAGGTCAATGTTAGAATTTCGACAGAAAGGGCAAAAGTGCTCCATTTTGATAACATTAGGTGCAAAATTGCTTTAACAAATATTTTAGGATACTGAGTGCTTCTCTAAAAATATATCAAGGGTAAAAATACACCTTAACCCTAATAAATATATACATATATAAAGAATTTTTTAAAATATCAATAAATTAATCAAATCACTTTTTCTTTATTTTGCTAAACTTTACATATTAAGAAGACCAAAGATCAGAAAGTCGTTAAAAGTATCAATTTTAACTACCATTATTAGAGCCGAAAAAACGGGCCGAGCCTGTCGGGCTAACTCGTTTAAACTCGTATAAGAGTAGGGTCGGGCTAGTAAATAGGACTTCAAAATGATAAATCAGGCTTAAAGGGGCTAGCCTGTTTAAGCCTGTTTAATCTAGGGCTTAAAAGGACCGACCCTACAGGGTCGAGGGCCAACCCATTTAAGCCCGCATATGCATTTTTTTAATTAATTCTCATAATTTCCACTCTTTTTAGATTTTAAAAAAAATAAACTAAATCTTACTCCACATCACATATTAACCCATATTTACTGAGGATGGAAGGCAAAAAAAAAAAGAAAAATAGCAATGAAGAATCACTGATCAGAAATTATATCAGTCAAGGATCACTTGTTGTCAAAATTTAATTAGATACTTGTAGATTCGAATTAGCCTTTATCAATAAGTATTCATTTAGGTTTTAATAACAACTCATTTTAAATTAACAATAATTTAGTGTAACTTGTTTTTCATTCAACTTTTGACAACAATTGATTCTTAATTGATATAAATTTCACTCAGAAATCCTTAGCTGCTATTTTCTAAAAAAAAATACAACCTTAAATCTCCTAATTCCTCTAGATCCATGATAATGATTCATTCAGTTCAACATTTACTCTTCTAATTTTGATTGGGTGTTTTTCGGCTTAACCGATCCATTGCTTATTGCATTGCTATTATTTTATTTATATTTTTAGTTCATTTAGATGTTATTTAGTTAGTTTTTTTGTACCTTTCTTGATTGAGTATTATATTAGAATGAAATAATTTTTTGTTTGATTAAAACATTTAAAAAAAATAAAAATAGTTAAAAGGGCCTAAAGCTCGCAGGGCTGGCTCTGAGCCCATTATGTCAAGAGTCAGACTTCGAATATTATGATCCTAAAGAGAACTCAGGCTTAAAAGGGCTTACCCTTTTAGGCCCAAGCCCTTCAAGGTCGGCCCTACAAGGCTAAACTGGCTTTTTTTGCCAGCTCTAACCATTACCTTGATAAGAATAGAGTTGGGAATTTGAAAAACGATAAACATTTTACTAAATTTTAATGGGTCTAAATTTTATACGACCTCTCTAAATTTTGGAGTATACTTATACCATGATCTTTAAAATTTATGCAATCCGTTACTTAAAAATTTATATGTTTGTAGACCATTCTTCTCTATATTTTATTAATTTAGATGTATTAAATTTTTAACATGTAATTAAAAATTTTATAAGATTATTTTATATAAAAGTGTAGAGAATTCATTATTGATTATGTAGTATGTGTGGAAATAAATAAATTGACTAATAATAGAACGATTCGGGTCTTATGCGATGCAGAGTTTGAAAAATGAACCACAACATTCATGACACAATTTCGAAGGATTCAACAAAAATTGTCTACCCATAATTTGGGCCCATTATTGTTTTAAGAATTAATCAAAACAAAATAAAATAAAATAAGAAACTGAATTTATGAATCAAAAATATCTTTTAAATTAACTAATACAACTATAATCTTAAATATCTTAATTTTAATGCATGAATAATTGAATATTCCTAACTGTTGTTCCCTCTCGGGGGTCCTCTCACAAAAATTTCCATGTAATAGGTTCCGTACTGCACAAATTGAAATGAACTACATTTGTTGTGTGAAAATATGTTTATACGTTTTATTAATTAATAATGACAATGATAATATGATAGTATTGCTACACCACAAGAGCGTGCATCCGGAGCACAAAGGATGAAAGGGGTTTTTTTTTTTCCCCAAATAAATGTCAAATAATATTAATAAAATAAAAGGTAATTACAAGATAAAAGTGATATTAATAATTACAACTAACAACGAGAGACATGAATTTCTAACGTCATCTTGGAAAACAACACCCCTCCAAAGATGCTTATTCGCAGCCCATGGCCACAAAGTTCTGCACTACATTCCTTCTCTGCCTCCGGTTCCGTTGAAAGTGCCCCTCCTATATTCATGAATCTACGAAACTGCCCCCACGTCTCCGAATCACCAAACATCTAAAACCCTGGACCCGCGGCACTGACCAAATTGCCCCTCCCTCCGTCGTGACTCAAGAAGCCGGCAATTCGGACCCCTTTTGGAACCCTGCTGGAAATACCGGTCAACCGTCCCACTATTAAAGGACTGACCTCCTCGTCTCCGTTAGTTAATTAATTACCCGACCCTAACATCCCTTGGAGAAACAAAAGCACATACACGTACAGACAGCTAATTAGCTATGAGAGTACCGGAAGCTCTTAGTCTTCAACCTCATGCCCAGAATCATTCACAACACCACTGAGAAAATGACTCGCCTTTGCCGGAAAATCGTTCCGGTTGGCGTCCGCTGGAGCGTCCTCGACAAGGTATCCTTTATTGGCCGTTTCTTCCAGTTCATTTGGGACAGGATTCTGGTCTGCTCCGTCGGCAAACCGGCCCGGTACCGGAGGTTACCTCTGCAGGACTCTTCTTTGATGCCGGCGACGGCGACAATCAAAGTTGACGGAGTCATCGGAGATCACCCTGCCATTACCGGCGGTGGTGGGTGTGATGCTGATTCAGATTTGGTGAACCTGAAAATCAGCTTATTGGGTGATTGCGATATTGGGAAAACTTCTTTTGTGGTGAGACTTTGTTTCAATTTTTTTTTACTTTTTCTCTTTTTTATAATCCAAACTACTCATGAGTTGAAACGATCCATAACGTGATATCGGAGTCTCTGTAATCCCTATCACTTCTATTTTACGAAGTATATGATATAAACATTTCGCTTAACATATAACTCACATTTTTTAGTTGATATAGTTTCTTTTTTATTTCTCAGATCAAGTATGTAGGGGATCAGCAGGAAAAGAGGAGTTTGCAGATGAAAGGACTAAATTTAATGGACAAGACTCTATTTGTTCGAGGAGCTCGAATTTCTTTCAGTATATGGGATGTTGCAGGTGCTTCAAAATTCAAAATCAAACTTTACTTTCTCTCACTCTCAGATTCTAAATAAATGAGTGATTTAGGTGACAAAGGGTCATCAGATCAAATTCCCATGGCTTGTAAAGATGCTGTGGCAATTCTGTTCATGTTCGATCTTACCAGTCGATCTACACTGAATAGGTAGGCTATAAGAAATTCAGATTCCTTGTTGCCAATTTACATTATATAATTGGGAAAAAAAATAAGCTGATAGATATCATATATGTGAAGATAGATAGCTTATTTCTTGATTTTCTTTAACTGCATCTGTGTGATCATACAGAAAATCTACTTGCAGATTTAATGATCAATCTGATCAGTTTTTGCAGAAACAATTGAAATTTTTTATCGTATCAAAGTTTCCGAATCACCCTTTCTTTAACTGTGCTTAGTCATGTGATTTGGTTGAGAATCAATTTGTGGGCTTGAACAATGAAGGTGCTCAATTTATGATAACGCAATGGAGGAAGTTAATGATTTTTGGATTGTATTTGTTTCGTGTTTGCAGCATTGTTGGATGGTTTAGCGAGGCAAGAAAGTGGAACCAGGTAACCAAATTCAAATTTGCAAGGCCAACACTAGTTTCCAGATTAATTGAATGGATAAGTTAGACGACTCTATCATAAAGTTAATGTCACTAAATAAAGTTTTGATCACTCATATTGGAAAAATGAATGAAGGTGGTACAAAATGCCTATCATTTACCACCGTTGTGAAATAGAAAGGATTAACTGACGTCAATTTTTTTTAGAAAAAAAAAAAAGAAAAATGGAATCGGATGCATGCCGCTCCAATCCAAGCATAACATGAACTGTGTTATTTATGTCTTCAATGTTTATATTTAACATTAATTTATTTCTATGTCATGTATACTTAATATTGTCAATTTGAATCCCATTAAATTGTAGTATTTTAAAAATACGAGAACGTGGATATAGATTTCTTGTTTTTGTTGTACAGAATTGAATAGAATTTCAAAAAAGATTCAGAGTCGACTATGAATACTAAATGTATGATCTTAGTGTTAAAAAATAGGTATGAAGTGATAGAGAAATAAATAAAAAGAAAGTAAATTAAAAATCAGAGGATGAATAGTTTAATTTGTGATTAGTTTTGTTTGAAGATTACGATGCATGAGCAGGTTTTTGTATTTGCAGACAGCACTTCCTATTCTGATAGGAACGAAATTTGATGATTTTGTTAGACTTCCCCCCGACGTGCAATGGACCATCGTCAGCCAGGTAGTGAGTGTTGAAGTCTTGCTTGGAAATTACCAAATTCTTTCCGTTTCCGCGTTAACCATAAAACGAGGGGCCCACACGCCCGTTAGATGGAACTTTTGATGCTTTTAATTTCATAGAAGTTTCAATCTGAAATTATTTTAAATGCAAATAGAGAAATTGATGGGTGGAAGTTGCAGGCGAGGGCGTATGCGAGGGCGATGAAGGCGACGCTTTTTTTCTCGAGTGCAAGACACAACATTAATGTGAACAAAATCTTCAAGTTCATAATGGCCAAGCTCTTCAACTTGCCTTGGAAGGTCGAACGAAACTTGACCCCGGGAGAGCCCATCATTGACTTTTGATTCACCTTGCATGTATATATTTACCGCAACAACACAATCATCAATAACCCTAAATTCACTCACTATTACCTCCTTTGCTAACTGGTCACCTTCTCTGCTCTCGGGATTGTACTATTAGGAAATGAATACCATAGGATGACTCGGCTTAATTTCTCCTCTCATTTTGGTCTTTGCATATGTAAAGTATATGCATGTCTAACTTCCAAAACTACTCACCAGATCAAATTGTTCGTGTCGAAGAAGAATACCTCCTCGTCCAAATTTTTACTGGCACTCATTAGTGGGGCCGCACACCTTGGAACAGTAACCAATTTTTATCACTTTTACTGGAAGCGATGTATAAATTCGTCTGAAGCTAACAAGCCATTTTGAGATGAGATTAGCCGCACAAATTAAGGGGAGAGAAAAAGAAGGGTCCAAAAATCTTATCTCCGATGTCTAACCAGGGGCCTTAATAACGCCAAACATTATCCACAAGGGGCACCGCAAACTCCGGATTCTTTAACGCTTGGTTTTTATCTGAGTCACAATGCCTTGTTCCTGGAAAGTTGAACCTCTTGGAAGCGCAACACGCCATAATCTCTTTTGTGGTTAGATTCAAGAGAAGATTTTTGGTATTTTCTTTCCATTGAGAAAGTTGGGTTACTCTCTGCTAATTGTATGAACACTTCTAGTTGGGGGTGACTCGCAGGCAATTCCTGTGAATTTATTGCAGACTTTCTGCATATATACAAGTCTTCATGAAACCGGTTCTACTCTCTCTCTCTCTCTCTCTCTCTCTCTATATATATATATATATATACACACACGCACGCACGCAACACGTATAGATGTTGTTAGAATGGACATAATTCCTGTTTTGTGGCCTAGCTGCTGTAGCATTAGTGTACATAGAAGTGAATAGCTAGGGACTCTAAATGTCTCCGACACACAAATACAGAAAGAAGCTCTTGTTGAATATCAGCTGCTCTAAGCCTAAATCACCACCACTATCAGTCATTGATGAGCATGCTGCTGCTGGTATTCATATTTGTTATTGAATTCAATTCCCTTTGAGATTCTCTTTTATGCTGAAAATTTCGTTATGAAATTGGCCATCCTATAAAATTTGTTTCACTTGAAAGCCATTGCCATTATGGGATTACCTCCTGCTAAGCCTGCTTCCTCGATCGGTATATCCAATCCAAAGGTCCTACTACAAATCAAATTTAAATTTCTTGACAAATATGTCCAAAAAATATGTCCTGTTTGTCATGAGTTCTACATCAGAAAACCTTACAGGTTTATAAGTACAAGAAGCTCTCCTACTCAATAAGTTAAACTTTTAAGTTAAGCTTTTTTTTTGAACTTATGTTCATGATAATGTCCTATCACAATGATGCTTTCTCTAACTTGGCATCACAAACACAGCCTCATATTCATGGACTTGTTTATTATCACCCTAGTCAACTGATGACCCTCTCGATTTACATTTAAGCTCATACACCTTCCTTTCCCCATGATGCACGCCTCTCAAATATCTCACAACAAGAGTCCTTTAACGACAAGCTTAGTACTGTGTGGCCCTAATCAATAAGATAATGCATTTTTTTAAAAAACAATTGGAGAAAATATTATTCCACTTTAATAAAAGGATATCACTGTTGATTTAATCTCATCCTTTTCTATTCTTATACTCCCTTCATCCTAAATTATAAGACAACTTTCAATATATTTTAATATAATTGTCAAAGAAGGAAATAAAACTTCATGATAAACCTCAATCCATTACACAACTCAATCAGTCTGCCGGGGTACAGAGACAAATTATCGCCCTCAATTATTGAAACCTCATAATGAACAATGTTTTCAGACATTATCCTTGGCCTATTAAGAACAGACATTTATTACTCCAAAAGCATAATAACTCAAATGCATCACTTAAGAAATACTAACTAATCATCTGTATAAGATGACGTTTCCTCAGCAGTATTATCATTATTATTATTATTTTTCCATCGTTATTATCTACAATGAACGGCGTCGGACCATCCTAATTTTACCAAAATCCAGCTGTCACATTTCGAAATCAACTTGCTTGGACCCTGGCTGAGAAGATCAGGGTAGGTTGAATGACGAAACTTCAATTCCTCGACTCTACTGCTTTGCCTGCAAAAATGAGCGGACGAGATATCAGAATAACTTGGAATGAGATTTTAATATATAGTTTATAAATAGCAATTATAACAAAGTATATAAATTCATTAGTGTGATTTTGTTAAATAAAAATATCTAACACATGTACATTTCTCTTCTTTTGTCGTTGATTAGTCCTTTTTCCCTCTTTTTCTTTTTCTTTTTTTTGATCATGATTAAGATTTTCCTACCAGAATGGTTATCGATGACAAAACCAAATATATCACATAAAAGCCAAATATATCCCATAAAAGAACCATGTTCGACTGTCTTTCTCACTTCCCACCTTTTCTTTTTATAAGGACCCACACGGCAACTGCAGTGGCATCAGAAGCATTGCACTACAAAGGAATGAAAGGAACCAAAGCATATTCTCCGGTCATAGAGTGTGGTCAACTTTGGAAGTTCCAAGATGGTAAGCCAGCTCTTTTTGAAATTGGTCTTAGAAAGGGAATAAAGGTTGCGCAAACCACAATTCAAAATTAGCTAAAGTAGCAATTCAAAGTCCTACACCTAACCAATCTTCAGATCACCTAACCCCGGAACAACCATCCGAACGGTAGGCAAAATATCAAGTAATGCATCAACAACCCCCATCTCTCCCCTCAAAATATTAAGTGATTTCTCTTTTCAATTTCTTACAAAAAAACAAGCAATCGACTTGTCAATATTGTCCTTTTTCCTTTTCTAGTATTTTACAGACATGAGGATTTTTCATTCCTTGTTCTTCCTATGCTTAATATTCCAAGGACCAAACGAGTCAGTTTGGTATAAGTGGATCGGGAACTGAAAGGATAACCCCTCTCACACCACTACAACAACTGACATGTCTTTTGGAGTATCGATTCTCCTTACTTCTATACCAAGAAGAAAAGAGAGAAAAGTTCAGCACCCTCTGGTTGTCTTCTTAAAACAGTGCAACTTTCTACACCTTGAAACAATTGAGGAAGCCAAGATGTTCTTATCAAGGATACTGTTAGATCTTATAGTTTCGTCTATGGATAAGTCATTAAATGTGCGAATAAATTAGCTAGATTAACTCATGTGACTGTCACTGATTTTCATTCACCCCCTAGCGGTTCTAAGGTGGTGGACAATGCTAAGATAGGTTATGTAAGACCTAGATTCATGCCCTTTGATTCCCATTTTGAATCAAAGAAAAACGAAAATTTCTACTGCCTGAGGTACCACCTAAGCACCATATATCCAACAAAACTAAAACCATGTCACTTCAGACCAGAGGCACTTGAGTCTTTGACCTTATATCTACGAGAAGAAGATTGGTTAGCATGTTACTGTATCATATAAAAATTGTTTTCTCAATGTCTTATCTTTCCTTTAGGAAGTACAACAACCAATTATCCAGATAAATCAGCTCTAAAATGAAACTCAAACTTGACTAGAACCAGAAAATACCTGTGAATACAAGAAGGTTCCAAGGATGGCGATAGCAGCTCCAAGGGCATTGATGGGCTGAACTGGTGTGTGGAAGATGATGATTGAGGAGACTATGACTGAAATTCGTTTCATGGTGTTCCCAATGCTAAATGTCAAGGGAGAGATCTCATCCAAAGACATGTATGATACCTGATTATACAGATGATAGAATACACTTTGCGCCGCCACCCACCTGAATCAATACACGGTCACCTGATGTTACAATTAACTGATATATTTATTTAGCTATAAAATGAAGAAGTGAGCTCTCAGAAATGACAGGAAGAAAGAATAAGAACAACGAAAAACTGAAATACAAGCGAATAAGGTGCTAATATGCTGTTTCCTGCTACAAATATCTATAGAACTGAAATGAAACGAGAAGAAGAGACATTTAGCAGAAATGGAATGAATTAAACTACACCTTTTACATACACAAGATAATTTTCAAATGGTCAAAAACATTATTCAGGTCTCGTTAACTTTCTTTCATAATTAGCTATAGATTAAAGGTTTATTTTTGCATTCTATCCCCAGAACATGTATATAATAAGTGACACAATTACATTTTCATGCTCCTCCTCATAGATGCTATCAGGTCCTCAAATTAATGTGGACGTGGTCCAAGACAGGAAATTATCCATCAGTCCTTCAACTGTGAAGTAACAAAAGAATCTAGCCAGATAAATCGAATAAAATGAAGAAAAATTTAAAAAAAAAAAAAGAAAAGAAAAGAAACTCAGCTTGAGCATAAATACAATGAACCGACTAGATGACCTTCTAATTTGTCCATTAAATTTACAGGACTCATTCAAAAAGCTCACAAACATTTCTAGAAAACTTATAATCATATTGAACTGTTGTAAAATTAGAAATGATCAATTACAAAAGCTGATTCAAGCAATGTAAAATACATAACAACTTTCCTCCAAAGGATGACCAGCAACAAAAATATAAAAATTGTATGAACCTTATCAGATATCAAGGAATCAACATCATCTCTACCATGATAACATAGAAGAGAGCACATATAAGCAGTCTGTAGTCATCTGGTGATTACCATACAAACTGGGGTCCTATTTGAGAAAGGGCTGTTTGCCATCCAGCTGCCCACATCTGTGGTCCCTCAACAGCAACTGCGAATGGTGCGAGAATTAAGAGAGACAACATAGACAAACAAGCATAGTAGTTCATTCCGCTAACAGACTTTCCCTTCATGCCTCGTTTTGAAAAGATGTTCCGAAAAACAAATGCCAAATTTGATATCATGGCTCCCATAAAACCTGCAGAACACAGTTTAAAGCAAATTCAGTAGGTTGAACAGAAATTCTTTCAGAAAAGAAACCAAAAACTGACTCCAGCACAAGTAACATCCTCCAATGACACAATTATCCAAGGAACTCATTTAATATCACCCGTGCTTTGGATGGCTAACAGTGTTAGAAAACATGGAAAGCGTAAGATATTGTTTTAGCCAAAACAAATAGTCATGAATTCTCTTTTTCTCAGCTTGACTTTAATGTTCAATTTGATTTATCATGCTATGGAAAGCGACAAGATGCAGATGTCAAGAAGTCCATCTGAAGAAAAGTTACTTCATTACCAGTCATGTTGAAATTGAGCTCCGTCACAGCAGCAAGTGCACACCCACCGATGATTGGCACTAAGGACAGATAGACTGGTACTGGGAAGGACTCACCCAGAAGAAATCTGGAGACCAGTACACTGAAAGCAGGCTCACCACTCTTGATGATGTGTGTGAATGAAACCGCAACCTTTGACATACTAACCGTTGCAGCCACATGTCCGATGGTATGAGCAACAGCAACCTATTGGAAAAACAACAAAAAGTAACTATGCAATCCAATATCCATTAAAAATGTACGAGAAAGGAAAATTTCCAAACATCTGAGATCTGCTCAGAATCTCATGAGTATACCAACAATGAAGAAAAGAGATAGTTTTTCACCTCAAGGGAATTACTCTTCCAACAAATAAAACATCATAATCATAATTTATTAACAAAACTTTTGACCAGCCTCCACCCGATTTAACAAATTAATCTAATTAAGGTGGAGTTTACCCCTTTCCCCCCATTTCTTGAAAAATCAAACTACATGAAGATCCAGGGATACGTCCAAAACAGCGGAAAATAACCTTTTCTGAGTGTGTATAATATGAACAAAAACATAGCTTTCCCATCAATTTTTCTGAGAAAACAAACAAAGCCCATTAAACCTACCGGAAACAGAGTCTTCCAAAACTCAAAATCAGTCTTTGGCGCCTCCACGATCCTCGTGGCCCAAGAAATCAACATCATAAGAGACCCACAAGCGAGCGAGAGCGTTGAAGTAAGCCAAGGGTACGGGTATGCATTCAGAACCTTCTTGTTATAAATATTGAATACCACGTTTAGAGCCCACCACGTTGCGAAATATATTCCAATTCTCAACCTGTTTGCTGCCTCCGATGGCGTGCTTGCTTCAATGTTTGATCGGTCTGCCTCAAAAGCTTCGCATCTGATCGAATTTCCACGTGGACCCGCTGACGGAATATTCACCTTCAAAAATTTCTTAGTCAGAGAAGAAAGATGCAAGGGTTTGTGCACTGAAACCAGAGGTTGCTCAGCTTTTCCCTTCGGCATTGAAGGTAAAAGCAAGCTTGAGCTTGACTGAAAGGAATTTGACTGTCTTCTCCGAAGAACAACATCAGAAGAACTGAAAGATATACCAGGTTGTTTGAGAGAGCAAACCATCGCGAATAAGAAGGGGAAATCGGAAGTTCCGACAAAAAATCACAAAATTGAGAACAGTACTAGACCAATAACAGGTTCTGTGCGTCAGAGTTACGAGACCTGCTCAGTGAAACTCTGAACACTCGTGACAAATGATAATATCCGTGATCGGAGCTGTTGACCTAACGTCTCATAAATCTTGAAAGGTTTAGGTGATCGAAATTACGGTTGGAAGAAACAATAAATAAGGTAAAAGATCAAACGCACACAATGGCAATGGGGCGTTGAAGCTTGAAGGAATAATGCCTTTCGATTCTGTCTAATGAGAATAGTCTAAATATTTTTATAGAGGAAAGAGGATCATTTCATTGGCTTTTCTTTTTCAATTCACAAATTGGAGGGGCACTGTGCTGCTACGGGTTTGGTGGCGGAGGCTTACGGCTGAAGAAGCGTTGGGTAGATACGTGGAAATTTTCCAAGGCTCTCTCCTTGGGATCTCAGTCCAATGCTAGTCCCCAAGCGTCACGTGATAATAAACAAGGGAGAAATTATCAAAATACACTCGAAGTGAAAATGACCATGTGCATGAACTTTAAATTATGATATGAATAGAATTTTAAATTTTAAGCTCTTAAAATATATAAAAAAATTTCTCACCTTTTAAATTCTAAGTGTCTAAAATATTTCTATTAAGTTAAAAAAAACTGTCGTTATTTTTAAAAGTTACAATAAGTATCACATTAGTGTAATAGTCATTTACTTCAATTTAATAATAAGGTTTCAAACGCTCTAAATATAAAAGTTGATGAGATTTTTTACACATTTCAAAGGTTAGAGGTCCAAAATGTTATTCGCACAATAATTTAGAATTTAGAATGCTATTCACCAACTAAAAATTGTAATAGTCTCCTTTTCTTATTAACACAACTTTTTTGTTTACTTTGAGCAGTTAGAAGATTCTTCCTAATCATCTCAGTCTTTTCCTTATTTTGATCAACTATATCTTGACCTAAGATGCTTCTCTTAATTCCGTTCAATAGAGAGACAATGGGCACTCCCTACTATACAATGCTTCATATGAAGTCATCTTTATATTGACATGATAAATGTTGTTATACATAAGTTCTGCCAAGGGTCAATGGTCATCCCAACTACCACTCAACTCTATAGCACAAGCTTGCAATATATCCTCTAAAGTCTAGATAGTTCTCTCAGTCTATCCATCTGTCTGAGGATGATAAGCTATACTAAACTTCAACTTTGTGCTAATGGCCTTTTGTAATGCTCTCTAAAAATTCAACATAAACCTCAAATCATGATCTAATAGTATATTCTCCGGCCCCTTACGTAATCGGACAATCTTGTTTATATAGATTTTAATTAACAAATTTCTTCAATAAGTCGTTAGTCTCATATGGACAAAAAGTATGTTGACATTATCAACCTGTTGACTCTTATCCATTATACAAATGGCATAAAGACCTAACAACGTTCAAGGCAAACCAATCATGACATCCATAGAAATTCTATCTCATTTCTACTTCAAGATCTCAAATGGCTACAACAATCTAGGTGACTTTTGATGTTTAGTCTTAGCCTTCTAATAAGTAAGGCATTGACCTACATACTGTGACTGCTTTCTTCATTCCAAACCACCACTATCACTTCTTCATATCTTGACACATCTTGATAGCACATGGTGTATGTATATCTACTCTCATACATCTTGCTCAGGATAAGATACTTGACATCATCATCATCAAGAACACACATTCTTCCCTTATATTTGAAATATCCATTGTCCATCATAGAAAACTCAGCAGTGCATTCTTCCTTAACATCTCTCTTTCCAATCAAGAACTTATCCTCAAACTAAGCCATCCTCAACTCCTTCTAGAATTCATTCCTTATTTATGTAGCATGTAAGGGCATGAAAATCAATGGCAAAACATCTACTAGCATGCTCTAAAAACTCTATATTAGACTCCACTCTTTATGATGGCATTGGTAGAATTATTAACTTTTTCTCTCACATTATAGCTCGATAGGTTAGTTGCACAGTCAAGTTTTATTAGTGCTCCAAGCAAAGATCCTATTTTTGATATATTTATATAAGAAACGAGGCTAAATGTAAAAGTATTTGCTTAAGGATAAACAAAAACCTAAGTGTGGGGGAGTTTGATAGAGTGTATTTTATGCATATTTATATATTATTTATGCTCTTATATTGATTGTTTAATGCATGGATTTATAGTAAGATTAAATAAAATACCTTACCTAGAGATTTTGGTGTATTTTCAAGAAAAGGAGGCAAAATAACATTAAAAAAAGCCTTAAAACATGAAATTCATTTCTAGAAATTTCAACCAAGGGTAGACGAAATGTGTGACCAAAAGCAAAAATGCACAATCAAGGGCAGAGGAAAGGAAAAAATGAAGAAGAATGATATTCATTTGTACAAAAAGATATTTTAATGACACACTTTTAACCATAGTTATAGAAGTAATTGTAGTTATAATAGAGTTAATGACAACTTCAATAATTAAAGTTAGAAATTATGTCATAATAACGACAATTGATACACACAAGCGTCATTATATCTTAATAAATTTATTTTTTAAATTCTAAATAATATATATAAATTAATTTATAAATTATTTAAATAAATTAGATATATATTAAATGATTTCAAAATTTAAATAAATTAAATTATATTGTAAAATATTAATATTGTAAATATATAACGAAAGCCCAATAGTATTTAATTTATTTAAAAAAATTATTCTTGTGTAATTAAATTAAATAAGGTATTCTTTTATTAAACAAATTAATGATAAAAAAAACAAGACCATTAAAACATGTTATGATTTAAAAAAAAATATTTAAGATTTAACGACTAGCCATTAATGGCCTGTCGTGATAATTATTATATAGCATTAATTTTTTTTCAGTACATTTTGAAATAATTAATTTATAATAATTATATTTAATTTATTTTAAGATAATCAATTTCTAATAATGGCCTGTCATTAATAATTACAAAAAAAAAATTAATTCTTCACGACAGGCCATAAATGGCATGTCATGAAGATTAGTTAATAACTTTATCAATTAAAAAATGTAATTATTAAACAAACAAATAAAGTTATTAATGACCACATTTCACAACAGGCCATTTATATTAGTTCTGTTCATTACAATAGGAAGTAAACGACAAAATGAAGTCATTGTTTGAATTGTAAGTTTTTTGAACAATTATTTTATAATATTATTAACATCTTTTTAATATATTCTAAATTTGTATATTTGAAAAATAGATCTTTACATCATTACTGGAGGATGGCGAATATAGTTGACAAGAAAAAAAGATAAAATCAAGTGGGTGCGTATACAAGTAAATATTTTAAATTGTTTCCCAAATTAAAATAAAAATTACAATATTGATCTGATGGATCGAATTAGTTTTAATTTTTTTAACAATGTGCTTGACAACCAGAAAGTGTAGAGTGTGGTTATTACTTGATGATTTTCATGTATAAAATCATCACTCAAGGCATTACCCACTCATTTGAGAGGATAATAATTTGTTAAAAATAAATTATATTTTACATTTTTACCCTATACTTGAATTAATATGCATGCACATAGTTTTATTGATATGCAGCATTTTAATAGTTTAGAACCATTTTTCAAACAAGAGCTGAGACATATGCAGAATATATAGTCTACTTACTTTCTAGAATTAATAAGTTAGAGTAGATAGTTAGATAGATATTTGTATTGGATATGTAAAAATTTCAATGGATATGCTTGTAATTGTCTCTAAAGCTACTGTTTATGTATAAATGCAAACTTTTATAAGTAAGGAATTGAAAGAATACTAAATACGCATTCTTTAAAAAAAAAAGGACACATACCGTGACAATTGTGTATCGAATTGTGATAAAATATACCTTTTCGTGATAATTATCACCACAACTATTGCGAAAAATGGTATTTTTTACAACAGTTATGGTTATAACTATCACAAAAAGTACCCATAAAAGGCTGATTTGTAGGCTTTTTTTCGTTACAAATGTTATTATAATTGTCGGAAAAGTTATTATTACAATGACAATTATTAATATAACTGTCATGGTAAGTTCAATTCTTTTTTCCACAGTCCTTCTAAGACTGTCACGAAAGGTATCAACTTATAACTACACCCATTTCCACCACACCACTTTTTATGTCGCGAAAGGTGGGTTTCAACTGTCGTGAAACATGCTTTTTGAAACAGTGATTTCAGATCAAATATCATCATATCTAATGAGATAAGGCATGATTTGGATGGATTCTATGCCTATGGGAATCAAATTTATTATAAATAAACTTCCTAAAAGCCTTTCAACACATTCAATCTCATATCTGAAGGCTAGGAGGCATATTGTGGAGTTTGGACGAGTCTTGTGAGCTAGAAGCTTTCTCTTTTCTCTTCTTTTTTAGATTCTTTTTATGTCTTTTATAAGAAATTATAGTTTTAAATCTATGAGTTCTTGCTAAACTCCCAATCAGTGTAGGGAATAGCCCAGCTATGATAGATTTTGTTCTTTATTTGATTTTAATTATTTTTTGGTTGAACAATAGTTTTTGTCTATGAAATTTATGTTTACTTTTATATTTATCTCTCTTGTTTTAATCACTTTTTATACATATGGCCAATATATAGATTGTTGGTAGGTAGTTTGATAAACTGAAAGGTGAAAAACTTACCTAAACCTAAAGAGATAGATGCAGACAACTAATTTAAAAATAATTTAGGAGTTTGCGGTGGCTCAGGTCGTAGCTTCATGGTTTAGTTAGAGAATAGAATTTAGTGTGAGTTAAATTTAACTTTAATTAAATACATATTAATATATTAAAAGATAATTAAGACACCTTAAAAATGATTGTCACTATAAAAGAAGGGAGGATAATTAATTGAACTAGGATTATTCATCATTGTAGGTGAATTTTGATCCCTCGTGTTTGTTTGATTAGTTGGTTCATCATTCTCATCACTTATTGATTTTCTCATTTATTTTCTTTATTAAATTATTAAATGTTTTCCAAAAAAAATCTTATTTGTTGTCTTATATAACAAAGATTACTATCTTCCTTTGGATTCAACTCGAAATACTCTAAATTTATTACTACATTGATCTCATGCATTTATAAGGCCAATTAATGTATATGCAAGTCAAATTAATCAATGCATGCAAAATGGGCATTTAAAACCATTCAAGTATACAACACAATATCAAATCTCATGATATCACATATACATAATCAAATCACTCTTTATCACCTCTATATACTGCCAACTAAATTCATGGACTGACAATTCAATAGGGATATGCTTATG